AGGGCCCCCGCCCCCCACCTCCACACTGCCACCCCGCAGCCCCTTCTGCCCTATGGTGCCGTCTCCCCATGGCCAGGCCCAGGCCAGCCGTCTCTCCTTGCCCTGGCCTCCAGGTTGGCTGTCTGTCTGTCTCCCCCTTGCTCAGGCCCCTCTTCCCATGACTAATTGGGGGTGGGGGTGGAGGAAGGCGCTTCATTCTCCAGGGGAAGCTCAGACAGACGGGCATTTACAGCAAATTTCAGTGTCAGTGGGAAAGGTCAACATGCCAGTCACCCCCCTCCTGACACACAGACAGAATTCACATGGGGCCCCGGCCGGGCGGGCTCAGTGGATACAGCGTCGGCCTGCGGACTGAAGGGTCCCAGGTTCGAGTCCGGTCAAGGGCACACGCCTGGGTTGTGGGCTCGATCCCCAGTGGGGGACGTGCAGGAGGCAGCCAATCGGTGATTCTCTCTCATCATGGATGTTTCTCTCTCTCTCTCCCTCTCCCTTCCTCTCTGAAATCAATAAAAATATTTTTTTAAAAACTCACATAGGAAGAAGGCCACAGCTCAGGGCGGGAGAGGTCACTTGGGGCTCCAGCAGAACTTGCCCCACAAGGTCCCAACCCCAGGGCCCTGCACGCAGCCTCTGCCCCCCCATGCCCCTGTGGCCCTCTTGGAGAAGTAAAATCGCCTCTCCAGGCCTTAGCCGGTTCCCTCCGCCAGGAATACCCTTCTTCTCTCTGCCTATAACGTGCGATCTCACCTGGAGCTCAGGCACCACCTCCTCCAGGAAGGCCTCCGGGGTCTGCACTTCAGTGCCTCCTGGGCCCTGGCTCACGCCTACACCTGCTTCCCACCCCCACACTCAGGGAGCCATGGGTGGGGGAGCTTTCTCTCCTGAACTGTACCATCTCTCTCAGTTCTGACCTCACCGGGAGCTTTGGCTCCATGGCCTGTCACCCTCCCCAGCCAGATGGTCCCTGAGAGCCCAGTGCCCAGCCCAGGCCGGCCCCGAGGACCCCAGACCCCTGGGCCCCAGCTCAGGGCTCCCTCCGCGAAGTCCCTCGCACTCACCAGCCGCCTGGATGTCGCGGACGATCTGGGCCGTGAGGCTCCCGTTGTAGAAAGCCCGGGCGCCCTCGGAGGCCAGCGTCTCGTAGGTGTCGGCCAGCCGCGGCATGGTCACTCTGTCCCCCTCCCGCAGCACCTTGCCGTCCCGGCAGAA